CAACTTTATAGGTACGTGTTGTGGAGGTTCCTGGTGTATCTATGGAGTTATGTGGTGGAACTCATGTCAATAATACTTCTGAAATACGTGGCTTCAAAATAATTTCTGAACAAGGGATTGCATCTGGAATCAGGCGCATTGAAGCTGTTGCTGGTGAAGCTTTTATTGAGTATGTCATTGCCCGAGATAACCACATGAAGCAGCTGTGCTCCACTCTCAAAGTATGCTTTTTGTGGATGCTCTCCCTTGATATGAAACTTTTTTTTGAACCTCTTTTTCTACATGGCCAAATTCACAATATTCTCCCGATCTTCTTATTATATTTTCAATTTAAATTGTCCTTATCAGCATACTGCCTCTAGTTATGATGTCTATCCACATGTACTATTCTAGTTCACATTACTTTTCTAAAGATGCTAAACTTGACCTTCTAGTCACATATATTCATAACCATCACGTTGTTGTGCTTCCATATGTTATTGTTTACTTTGTTTTGGAGCTCACCAGGAAACAAAGACATACCCTTCTCACCAAGTATCAAAAGAAAGCTAACCATGTATGTTCAATCTGAAAGATCACGGCATAACCAAAGATGTACAACAAGTTTTTGCATAAGACTGGTTCTCTTGCATCAGTTGTTCTAATTTTCTGAAGTGTTATGTACTTAAAAAAATAATAATAATAATAATTTGAAGGTAAACGCTGAAGATGTTACAACAAGAGTAAACAGTATTTTGAAAGATCTGCGAGAGGCAAGAAATGAAGTTTCAGCTGCACGTGCAAAAGCAGCCATTTACAAAGCATCAACCATCGTTAGCAATGCAGTTACTGTAGGATCTTCAACAAAGATCAGGTAAATATGTTCTTCCATGATAATATATCAATTCATTCTTTAGATGGGTTTCTTGATTTAAAGTATGACCCCAACTTATTTCAATTTTCACACTGACAACAAGTTTCTTAAGCGATTACTTGAATTTTTATGTATATTTGCATAAGACGATCACCTCACAAGTCACAACACTTTTGGTTAGAATAAGTGTCTTCCCATATCATTTATGCCTAAAAGACATTCATACAAACATAAATTCTGGGCAGTTTCATTAGTTTATCATAGCATCCAACCTCTTTCCGAAGTTATGGCTCACCTCACCCCTTCCATCTCAGTACTGTCCTCATCTCAAGTCAGTCCAACATCGTTACTAAAGAGAGAAGCATAACAAGCCTGGTCCATCACTTCTGACAACTATTTTTGTCCAGGGTGCTAGTTGAGAGCATGGATGATATTGATGCTGATGCATTAAAGAGTGCTGCAGAGTATATAGTGGATACACTGCAAGATCCAGCAGCGGTGATTTTGGGCTCATGCCCAGGTGAAAAAAGAGTAAGTTTAGTTGCTGCTTTTACTCCAGGAGTGGTTGATCTTGGAATTCAAGCAGGGAAGTTTATAGGGCCAGTAGCCAAGTTTTGTGGTGGAAGAGGGGGTGGTCGGCCTAATTTTGCCCAGGCAGGTGGAAATGAGCCTGAGAAATTGTTGATTGCACTTGAAAAAGCTCGAGATGAACTCATCTCCATTCTATCTGAAAAGACAGGCTGAAAATTTTTATATATATATATATCATAATTTGCAACATCAGTATGAAACACTGCTCGTGCTCGACATAGATGCGGTTGGTAGTTCAATGGCCTAAAAGCATAGATGTTACATTTGTACTCCTAGTTAGGTAAATATCTCATTACACAATGTCCTTTTAAGATAAAAGTGGTACCTATGATCTCTTCAAACTTTATATGTTTTCTTTTCA